AAGTGGCCCAGCCCTCTTCAAAGTGTCACCCCACTTCAAGGAACTTCTCCAGCAGCAACTTCAACTTTCCAACTACACCATCTTCCTATCTTCCTACCCTCTGGCCTTCATCCAAGGTTCCCAGGTAGTTACCATGAGGGAACTTATGGTGGCACTTCAGGGAACTGGATGTTCTGAAGTCAGAGTTCAGGCCTATGGCATGAAGCAGGAACTTGACGACACTTCCATGGTACTTGGAGATCCAGAACATCCACTTGCTGCCACCAACTTCTGGGATCTTGGAAGGAACTTCCAGCAACCTCATATTACACTTGTCAAGCCCAAGTTCCTCAAGCGCAGTGGGGCCACAGAAGTTTACCCCATGTTACTGCTACTTGGAAAGGGCCATGGGACAGTCAAACTTACACTCAACTTCCGGGGAGTACCTTTCAAGATCAAGATCTACCCACTTCTGGTTCATTCACTCAAGGCATGTTCTGGGAAGCAAGTTCAGTTTGATCCCACCACTTTGGAAACTTGCAAGAAGAGGGAAACAAGTTTGCTGCACAAGCTAAGTAACTTGGAAACTTTCCATGATCTTCAACTGGGGGGTCTGAGGATTGAAGTGACAGTAAGTGCCAACACACTTACTGAAGCTTCAGCCATGGTCAGCCAGACACCCCTCCTCAACATCCATGAATGGATCCAGCCAACTTCCCCAGAGATGCAAAAGTTACAGCTCTCTGTCAGGTTCATCTCAAGAGCAAGGTACTTTCGTCAGTTCAAGTTACTTTTGGACAAGGCCAGGGAACTTGGAACTTTCAGAGGTGACAAGATGAGGAAGACAGGTCCAGTAAGGAAGAAGATCCTCAGGGATCTTTTCAATGCACTTGGATGGAACCCAGGACATCGGGCAACTTCCAGACTTCCTCCTCAAGAACCCTGGTGGAAGCTCAAACCTTCTGACAAGGACCTTGATGAACTTCCTCAAGTTCAAACTTCCATGCTGGACTTCCTGGATCCTCAAGATCCCAAAGTTCACCACAAAGAGATCCAAAGATGCTGCAAGATCTTCAAAAGAGGCAAAAACTTCCGGGTACTTATCCTCAATGCAGCAAACAGGGCAGTTCCTATGGGAAGTGAAAGTACCAAGGAGAAGATGGCAGAGTGGGTCTACAAGAAGTATGGCAGAACTTGGCCTACCACCTGCTACCTCCTGGAGCAACCTTTCAGAACTTCAACTTCCCATGCTGGCACTTCCAACATCCACAAGAGCCTGGATCAGGAACTTGGCAAGTTCACCATCACCCACCAAGATGCACTTATGGGAAGTCCCAAGTTCCACCAACTTCGGGAAAGTGCCAACTATCTTGTCACTTCAGGATACATCAAGGGAGATGGTAACTGCCAGTTCAGGGCACTTAGCCATGCCATCTATGGCCATCAAGGAAGGTTCAGGGAACTTAGGGAAGAAGTTGTCAGGCACCTAAGAGCCAACCTGCACTTGGTGGAACCAGTCCTGGCAGCTGAAGTTCTTTCAACTACCAGAACTATCAAGACACCAGTTCAATACCTCCAGCACATGGACAATGAGGGAACTTGGGGAGATGACCTGACACTTTCCACCCTGGTCAACTTACACAAACTGTCCCTGCTCATCATCAACCCTGACAGAAGCTTCTTTGAAGTTAAAGCACCAGAACATCCTCAAACTTACACTGCCCTCTACTACACAGGTAACCACTATGAACTTGTGGTGAGGAAGAGGCAGTAGAAAGTTCCAGCAAAGATCCATTGTCGATAGCAGAAGTTCCATTGTAGATAGCTCAGCTTCCTGGCCCCACTGTAGATAGCAAGTTCCAAGGAACTTGACCTGAGGTTTTTTATCCTCAGAAGGTTTTCCTCAGTAATCAAGTTCCAAAAAGTTCCCCTCAAGTGCCAA